GAAGTGATGAAAAGTTAAAAATAAATCATCTTAGAAATATTAAACAAGGTGAAAAAGAGATATTACGGGGTTATACAAGCAGATTCAAAGCCTATTTGGATGCTGTAAAAAATAGGATAAGAAGTGATAAGCAACGGGACTGGTATCTAGATAGAATGCGAGAGACATATCGGATGAGAGTAGAAAACTTTTGTCCAAGAAGTTTCATAAAAGCTAAAGAATGTGCATTTCAAATTGAAAACTTTCAAAGAGATAGAGAACAGAAAGATAAAAAGGGTATATCGATGGTTGGAGAAAAGTCTCATTCAAGCGATCCAGATGTTGATGGTATTACCGCCACTCTCGAAGCTCTTACTTTAAATCGGGTCAAACAAGAAAATAACAACGATAGTAAAATTGATAAGATTGAATCAGATATTAAAGAACTCATGAAGGTGGTTAAAGAACTTACTAGCAACAATTCATCTGCTACGTTTTCTCGTTCAAGAAGCCTAATCTCTGTGCAAAATCCAAGGGCTCAAAGGAGGAATGTCGATAATCGTCAGTGTTTCAATTGTCAACAAGAAGGGCATATCTCGCGTAACTGTCTAAGCAGAACACTTCAAAATCCACTTGTTGAACGAGAGAATGAACAGAGAGATGTAAGAAATGGAGCCGTTGAAACAGGAGGCGGAACATTCGATATTTTGAAGTAACATCAGGGTCCAACAATTCTGGAATTGAATGCTTGAAAGTTGAGGTGGTAAAAGGAGAAACTATATTTAATGTGAGAAATTGGAACCTCAGAAAAAGAAAGCGTACTGATGAAGGCGAGGTAATTGATAACGAAAATAGAAAGAAAAAGGAAAAGGTCAATGAAAATAATAATAATCCTGTTGAATCACATGTTCTGAGCCCTGTGATGTACATACCATTATCGGAATTGAGTCAAGAGCTTGACATCTTAAGAAAGGTCACCGAAATGGAAGTAACTTTGACCTTGGGACAACTATTTAAGTGGTCTCCGAAAGCCAGGTCCGAAATTTTAAAAGCATTAACACGTAAAAAAAAAGAGAATGATGTCATGATGTTAGATACGAACGTGAGCATTGTTCGTACAGTTCAGACAAGGAGTATAAAAAAGGATGGTGATGTGCCTATGGGCGTAGTAACTATTAATGGAGAAAAAACTAACACTCCAATCGATCCGAGATCACGATTAAATTTAATGCACGAGAAATATGCAAAAGGAAAAGGATTGACCTGGAGATCAGTTAATGGAAAAGGAAGGATGGCTGATGATAGTGTTAGTAATTTTCTGGGATACATACCAAATGTAGAGGTTGATGCCGAAGGAGTGAAAGTTACACAAGGGTTTTATGTTATGGGATCTGCCAGTTTTGACGTATTGCTAGGAATTCTATGGATTGCTGCAGCAAAATGTGATTTAAAGTGAAGGAATAATCAGTATTGGTGCTCAATCGCCTCCAGGTATAAAGAGGTATCATTTGTCACCACAACCGTACCGGAAAGTTGGACAAGGCCTTGGAATAATGAGGACGATGAATTCGAAAGTGATGATGAAGGTGATGATTTGGATGTGCTATCAATTCGAAGGATTCAAATAGACAAACCTAAAATAGAAAAGATGGATGCAAAGTATAAAGAAATAATAATCAAAGCCAATAATAGTAATCAATTACTGCTAGAAGAATTAACACCAATTAATGACGACCGACTTGAAGGGACTAAGCATCGTGGCCAGGTCATTTATTGGAATGCTGATCAAGAAAATAGAGGAGTCATTAATGTCGGAGGTCTGGAATTAGTTATGCGGCTCACGGTAGAAAATAACAATAGGTTGGACATTAATCCTGAAATACCGATAAAAAGTAGGAATTATTTGATAAATCAGTTGATTAATGTAGTTCCGGATGTATTCGCCTTTGGACTTTCCGAAATAGGAAAAACGAGTTTAATTGAGTATGAAGTACGTACCGGAGGAAAAGTAATACCAGAAACCCGAATGAGGCCAATTCGTATCAATAATCCTGAACGAGTGATGCTATTTGAAAATCAACTTCGGGAGATAGTAAAATACGGTTATTAGAAAAAGGGAAGGGACAATATGCGTATTACTGTTTTCTAGTAAAAAAGAAAGAAGGTGGAACGGATCAGTTAAGAGTTGTAGGAGATATGAGACCTTTGAACAAATATATAATGAAAGATAGTTACCTACTGCCAATGATTCGTGATATTATAGAAAAGGCAGTAGGGCATGATTGGTACTCCTCAGTTGATGCGTACAAGGGTTATTGGCAAATCCAAATACGAGAAGAAAATAGAGATAAGGTTGCCGTCACGACGCCCATTGGACTCATGAGGTATACGGTTATGTGTATGGGCTTAAAGAACACTAGTGAGACATTTCAACGTTTAATGGATATAGTCTTAGAAGGAGATGAGTGGCGCAACATTACTGCAGCTTATCAGGATGATGTGGGGTTATGGACAGATGGTTCAGTTCAAGATCATATCGATGCATTCATAAAGTTGGCACATAAATTCAAGAATGTTGAATTGACTTTTGCAGCAAAGAAATGCCACTTGCTATATAGAGAATTATGCATGTATAGGTTCGTCGTTAGTAAGTTAGGAATTAAAGTAGATCCTAAACGAATCAAGAAAATTAAAGAATAGCCGACACCTACCTGCCTTACTGAAGTTCGGTCATTCCTAGGCATGATGAATTATTACCGCTGTTTTATTAAGGATTTTAGTAAAGTGGCGAAACCACTTACCGATCTCACAAAACAAAATGTTGGCTATCATTGGAAAAGCAAGCAAGAACAATCATTTCAAGAACTAAAGAGACTGTTGGTAGATAATGTTATGTTAAAGGCACCTGATTGGCAGAAAGCCAAAAGTGGAGAACGCCTCTATCAAATGTATACAGATGCCTGTGACGTGTCTCTAGAAGTGGTCCTAGAACAAAAGGACAGTAATAATCAATTGCGACCAGTGTTATTTGAATCACGCAAATTGAATGAACATGAAGTTAATTACACTATTACGGAAAAGGAGTGTTTAGGTATTGTTTTCGGTTGTAACATGAATGAATGATATGTAGGGGGAACAAGGTTTGATATATGGGTAGACCACTATGCGTTAGAATGGTTATTCAATAAGGCAATGCTAAAGGGACGGCTTATGCGGTGGGTTTTGGCACTACAAACCTTTGATTTTCAGGTACGTTATAAGCCAGGTAAATTGCATGGCAATGCAGATGAAATCTCAAGATATTCGAATTCTCTGGTACAACAACGTTTAATGAATGATGAGTATATAGAAAATCTATTAATGAGTGTAAATATGGAAGATCAAAAGTCGAGTAATTTGAGAGCAATAGTGAAGTATCTGAAGACATTTTCCTGGCCGTCCTACGTGACTAAAGAGGATTTGAGGTGTTTAAACTCAAAATTGAGGAGTTACTGTCTTTTAGGTAACTGATTATACTGCAGAGCTGCGAATGGGAAGCCTTCAAGACGTGTAATTTTTGACATTGAGGAGAAAAGAAAGATTGTAATAGTTAATTATGAAGGAATTGCTGGGGAAGGTGAACATCGAGAGATTAATAGTTGTGTCAGAAAAATTTTGATGAACTATGAATGGGCGTCAGGTGATTTGTATAAGAATGTGAGAGACTATGTGATGTCTTGTCTGGTTTGTCAGAAGTGCGAGGTCAAAGTCCCGAAGGAGCCCATTTACGTTAAGGCTACTAGTTAGATTTTTCATAAATTATTCATAGATTGTATAGGCCCAATGCACCGTACTAGTGCTGGTCATGAGCATATTGTAGTCGCAGTAGAAGATCTGACTGGTTTCATTGAAGCTCAGACGCTTAAAAGAAAAAATGCGAAAAGTATCGCCCAATTTATCTGAGATGATGTCATCACCTGACATGGTTGTTTTGCTGAACTAGTATCAGACAGAGGGACTGAATTCAAAAATAGCTTAATGAATGAACTTATCACGCGAATAGGTATTGATCAACAATTTGTAGCGAGCTATCACCCGGAGGCTAACGGTAGGGCGGAAAGAACTGTTCAAAAACTTACTAAGATTTTGTGAAAGGTATGTGCAGAGAAGCAAAATAGATGGCACGAGTACTTGTGAGAAGTTGTGTGAGCCATAAACATAATGACTGGAGAACTTGGATACTCACCTTTCAGACTAGTATATGGAAGAGACGCGATTACGCCTCTTGAATTAACTATTGAAACATATCAAACATTTGTAACTAAGAAGTTTTGGACCACTGAAGAGTTATTAGAATTCAGGACCCTACAAATGAAAAATTTGAGTTATGAATTGAAGGAGGTACAGGTAAATCGTGATGAATTGAGAGAGCAGTGGAAATACTTTCATGATCAACACAGTAATTTAAAGGAAAAGATTGATATTGACGAACTAGTTTTGGTATATGATTCGACATTGAAAACCTCATTGTCTCGAAAGCTTGATTACTGATGGATTGGTCCTTATAAAGTGTGCAAAATCGGAGATTACGGGCAATTCTATCTTTCTGAGCTAGATGGAACTGAATTAAGGGACCCCATCACCAGAAATAGAGTTAAGAAGTTAAAGGAATCAAGTGAAAAATCTCATGAATTTCAAGAAGGTAAAGGAGCAGATAGTGACCTCGAGGACGAAGGTCATGGGGAATCTAGCTCGTGTCATGGTAAAAATAAGTATGCGGTGTATTTAGTGAAGGGAATTGATTTGGATCTCTGAATTAGTAGGAAAGAAAGATAGTATAGATATATTAGTACAAAAAAAAAAAAAAAAAAAAAAAAAAAAAAAAAATCTATATTTATGTATGTTCGATACTTGTGTTCGAGTTGGGAAGGTTCGAAACGAAGCATGCACGTGATTCACGTGATTGGTGTAAGATCAATCGGAAGTTTAAGTATGGGATCGAAGATAGGATTAATTATGCAATAGTTAGTATTACGAAATAGTTTAATGAAGTAAGAATAAATTATGCATAAGAAATAAGGTAAAAGTATGTAATCAATTTAAGAGTAAAAGAATCATATAATAGAATTATGATGTAATATGAGTCAAAATAAGACTATATAAGTATAAGCAAAATTAATAAAAATTAATTAGTAGCGTAAAAGACCTTTATTAATATAACTGTTCAAGTGCCCCATTTGAGCGAGATCCGATTAGTGACTTCAGTTACTAATATAACCACGACACGAGAACCTGGGCAGATAAATCAGTTGTCTTGCAAACAGAAGATCTATTAAAAAACAAGTGAACAGAGATTCAATAATCCTAGTATCAGGAAATAAAGCATTTCACGCTATTAATACGTTCATAAATACGTTTTTCCCTTTCACATTACGGGTGATACCATGTCTATAGATTTGACAAAGCCTTTCTTTTATGGAGATGAAAAGGATGACATCGATGGATTTCTTTTCGATTATGGAAGATATGCTAAGTCAAAAGATTGGGACGAAGAAACAAAATGTGAGATGGTGGTCATGCACATGCCCAACGAGACAAAAGCGTGGGTTAGAGAATTAATAAAGGGTTGTAATAATAAATAGGATACGTTAAAAGATGGAATAGTGAAAGTAATCAATGCGAGAAGTGATGAAAAGTTAAAAATAAATCATCTTAGAAATATTAAACAAGGTGAAAAAGAGATATTACGGGGTTATACA